GGAGGAAGCCTGGGAACGTGGGATTTGGCTGACACCAGAAGCGCCTCCCCTACTCGCAGGGAAACCCTTTTTTGGGGATCCGAAGCGACGTGGGGTGAGTGGCGCAGTGTTTTGAATCAACCGCTACTTTTACGGAGTGAAGCCGCACAGCCGTTGCCAGAGAGCGCTGACTTTTTCCTGCGGACAATTGGACTCTAAACAAGTACCCGTGAGTAGAACGGAAAATTGGATTAAGAAACATCTTAATTTGGCACTGAAGCGGGAAGGCTCTAAACAGGAAGTCCACCTCCTGTTTTTTGTAAATAGATTGAAGCAAAAACTTTGTAAGCTAAAGTCTGGAAAGTCGTATATAACGTTCTAAATTTCCTTCATTTATTACCATCAAAACCCCTCTTGGAAGCAGGAGAAAAGAGGGGGAATTTTTGACTGTTTAAGCCTGCAGCAGAGAGAGTAAAGAAAGATATATTTCCACCGTCTCAAACCTGGGAACGGGGTGTCAGAGACAGAAATTTACGGGGAAGTTCATCGACTCTGAATGGAACGTCTTTTGACAGATAGTTAAAGAAGAAGAAGAAGAAGAAGAAGAAGAAGAAGAAGGAGAAGGAGAAGAAGAAGAAGAAGAAGAAGAAGAGTTTGGATTTGATATCCCACCTTTCACTCCCCTTCAGGAGTCTCAAAGCGGCTAACGTTCTCCTTTCCCTTCCTCCCCCACAACAAACACTCTGTGAGGTGAGTGGGGCTGAGAGACTTCAAAGAAGTGTGACTGGCCCAAGGTCACCCAGCAGCTGCATGTGGAGGAACGGAGACGCGAACCCAGTTCCCCAGATTGCGAGTCTATCGCTCTTAACCACTACACCACCCTACAAAAAGAGAAGCAAATTGACTCCAATGTAGCTTCTTGCAATCAAAAGAAACAAAGTATTTGAAAAGTGAAAGTACTTTTCTTTTGTTGGTCCTGTTTTCAAAGATGGATACAAATAGAAATTGTCTCCTCTAGAGGGAGCTTGTTAATTTATTGCTGGAGTCGATCTGGGGACCTCACAGCTGTAAGATTAGGATCGTGAGACCAGACTCTAACCTTGAATAAAGATGTGTTTACAAGAAGTCTTGGTGCTTGCTTTTTGTAAGACAAGTGCTTTGCTGGAGCAGATGCATGAGAAGATGGATTTGATGACTGTTGCAGTTAAAAATTTTGGACAAGCGGTGAATACCCATATAGAAACCATTCAGGAACCAGCCCAGGAACCTGTTTTGACAGGGCAAGCGCAAGTGCAGAAGAAAATGGAGGAGGTTGTTGTTGAACCTCAAGTAACACAAATGGAGAGATCCGAGGCTTTGCAGGAGTATAAGCCGCTGTTTTTGAAGTTTGAATCTGGAGTGGACCAGGGGGGGTCTGGGGTTGTGAGGGCTCTTAATTTTGGAAGGACTTTGAAACATGCTTTTAAATACTTTCTGGATTACAGTGCTGACTGTGGGGAATGGGACTGCGGGGAATGGGCTGATTTGCTGAGGAGAGATGGAGATATTTTTGATATTTTTGGATTGGAGTCTTCCCGAGACCTACCCCCCAATGAGAAAGGAAAGAAATTAAGAAAAAGATCAACAAAAGACAAAGTAAAGGGCAGGTATAAACAAAAAGAAGATCTGCAGAAGGGACATGGAAAAGACTTAAGTGCCTCGGACATAAGATCACCAGGTTGATGGACTAGATGGACGGAATAGAAAGGACTGACAAAACCCGAGACCAGGAAGAAGAGACGTTGGATGAAGATTGGAAGAAAGCTTTAAAAATTTATTTAGAAAAAGTATTGTAAAATTAATGAGTATTAGAAAAATGTTGGAATGAAATTATTTGGCCTTAGCAGAAATGTTAAAAAGAATTATGTAAGAATATGTTATGGTTAAAAGAATTTGGTATATATAAGATTTAAGTTTTAAGGTTTTTTATGGTAAGATAAGGTTAAAATAGATTAAGGTAATTTAATGATAGAATATTGTGAAAGATCGAAAGGATTTGCTGAGATAATTAACAACTAGAATACAAAAAAGGGAGGTGTGAGGAGGTCGATGAAATAAGTTAATGAAAGTTAAGGATTTGGGAATACTGGATTTGTTTTTAAATTTTTTTGTTTATTTTTGCTTTTTGATTTTGATGTATTGTGTGTTTTGTTTTCTCTTTTTGACTTTGTTTATTGATTTGTATTGTTTAATTGTTATTTTTATCTACTTCTTTCTTTCTTTTTCTTTTTCTCTTGTTTTTTCTTTCTTTTTTCTCTGTAACTTTAAAATTCTCAATAAATATCATTTAAAAAAAATAAATAAAGCATCCATGACAGATGGCCATCCAACCTCTGCTTAAAAACCTCCAAGGAAGGAGAGTCCATCACCTCTCGTGGGAGTCTGTTCCACTGTCAAACAACTCTTACTGTTAGAAAGTTTTTCTGAATGTTTAATTAGAACCTCCTTTCTTGTAACTTGAAGCCATTGGTTTGAGTGCATGTTCAATCCTTCTGGATATCAGTGCTGCAGGAAATTTCCAAAATAACAAAACAGGTAATAGAAGCAACTCCAGAACTAGCCCAGTTAGATATGTTCCAGGACAACAACACACACTTGACAAGGAACTTGCATCATCTAGAAATATTGTAACTAGACACTGGAAGAACCTATCAGGAGTGAACATAGACCAGTGTTACCAAAATGTATAGAAACCGCCCTACTAGAGAAGTTAGCCAATAACTAGCATGGGGACAAACAAGGAGGACGCCTTAACCCCAGTATGGCTCTCCTTCATCACATACACAGCACAGCAGGACAAAGACGTATCCCCCCAACAGCATATGAATCAATATGGCTACCCTGACCCAATAATCTCTGCTCCCCCCCCCCCCGACAAACAAGCCACACTGAAATCAATTGGACGCAGCCAGCCAAACTCATCTAACCTCTGGCATTATCAATAAAAATAAATAAATACATGAACAACAAACCTACCCACGTGATGCTGACACAAACTCTCTACACTAATAATAGAACAAAATAGAACAAAAGAACAATACCCCATCTCTCTCCCTCTTCTTCCCCCTCTCTTTTCCTCCAAATGCAAATTATTATTATTTATTAAATTTGTACACTGCCCTACACCCACAGGTCTCAGGGCAGTTCAGAAGATAAAATCACAATATAAAAACACAAAATACATAATCAAAACAAAAACAACCCAAAAGATGTATTTGCAAATGCAACACGTGTATAGAAACCAGGAGGTGACGTATCAGCCAGGTATTATTCTTCCTTACTCACGTTTGAGAGTTCAGCAGAGTACACCCCTTGCAGCAAAAATAAGGAAGCTGTTGACAAGCTTTAGCCTTTTAGTTTAAGTAATCCAGGATGGATGTGTGAGTGCAAGCATGCTTTTGGGTAGGGTAGGGGGGCGGGGAGACATCCTGTAATCTTCAACCCTGGCTCAGCACCCTGCTACATCATGCCTCACAAGAGCAGGACAGCCTGAGATCAGGATGCTGCCTTATGCTTTCCCAGGCCACACTATTTGCCTCTTTAGTCCTGCCTTTATCTCTCCTGGCCGCCAGTGGCTCTCCACAATCTCATAAGTCCCATCACCTGCTACTTTATGGTCTCAGCTGGAGACATGGTGGATCCAATATGGGACATTCTGCACTCAAAGCATGACCTCTATCACTGTCCCTAAATCACAACGTAATTGATTCATCAGCCTATGACTCGTGTAGACTTTCTTTTATTGGAAGTTTTTACAAAAAAAGTTGAATGCTCAGCAGCTAGAGACATTTTAGATAGTCTGCCAGAGGACAGGTGGCTGAATCTCCATTTCATCTTTGGGTTGCATTGAAAAGGCAATGACAGCATTCGCCACTTGGTGGCTGCAAGTCTACCAATGCAACAGAGGCATACCGTAATTCACTTCTAGAAGTAATTGAAAACCTAGCAGGTGGTCCTAGCAATCTACCATGGAGCTCTCTCAAGACAATTTATTGCCTGTGGCTGGGGTGGGGGAACTAAATACCACACCCTATAAACCCTTTTAGCTCCTTATTGTGCCTAACCCCCTAACACTGTCACACTGCATTGTGTGGCAGCGTCCTTAAGTAGCTGAACTCTGCTAAATATTGGTAAGAAACAGAATAGAATGTACCATTCTTTGTCAGTCTGTTTGCTTAAATGCTGGTTGGTACTTTATGCTGCGTTGCTGTTCCTGGTTCTGATTCTTATGAACTTGCTTGTACCAATACGTCTTTTTACATTAATAGGACTTTGTGGGAGGTGAATGACCACATCTTGGTGTTTCACTTTAAAAAAAAAACCTGCTTAGAATTGTTCCCAGCTAATTTGGAGTGGAATCTTAAGTAGGTCTTTTCTTCCAATGGATCTTACTCTCAGATGTGAGCTTTAATTTGTTGATGTGAGTTATCATTTGTTTTTAGTTGTCATTTTAACTTTTCAAACGTCTTAAATTATTGCTGCTATTTTTCTTAGTGATAATTTTATTTTTACTGTTTTGAAAACTGTTTTGAGGGTGTGTTTTTAAAAAACAATCAAGTGGTGCATAAATTTTACAAAATAAACAAACATGTAAGAGTATATGTCACCCCCAACCCCATTTCACAGCTGAGCTGTGGGTGCTCTTGTTCTTGGGTCCTGCTTGCTGGTGTGAGAAGAGATGCTGGACTAGATGGGCCATTGTTGTTTATTGTATTTATATTCCATCTTTTTCTCCAAGGAGCTCAAGCTGATATACATGTTTATCCCCCTCTTCCATTAGTCGCTACAACAACCCCATAAGGGAGATCAGGTTGAGAGGCAGTGACTGGCCCAAGATCACCCAATGAGTGTTGTGGCCAAGTGGTGATCTGAACCCTGGCCTCCCAAGTCCTAGTTGGACCCTCTAATCGCTACACCACAATGGAGCACCACCACAGCTGACTCTGCCTTTGGGTTGTCCTTCCAATGAGTCTACCTCAAGGCTATAGCTCAGTGGTAGAGCACCTGCTTGACATGCAGAAGGTCCAACGTTCAATCCCCAGTATCTGGAGGTAGGGCTGGGAGAGAACCCTGCTTGAAATCCTGGAGTCAGTGTAGACAAAATTGAGCAAGATGGTTCCTCAATGTCCTTGTGTCTGTTCTCAATACTGCCTGTGATTTATGTATTTACCTATCTTCTGGCATCCACATGCTGCCTTTCTTCTACAGAGCTCAATATACTTGTGGTTCTCAAGTGGTTAACCACCCAGGCATTGACCTGTTTAGCTTCAGAATCATGGTAGCCTCATGTGGCTTTGGACATACCTTTGGTATTCACACCTCCAGCTCTTCATGTGGTTGACTACCTATGGCCCAGCACTGATACCCTGAGTAAGATTTATCATGGAGTCCTCACAGACTGTCGTCCAACATCAAGTGCATGGCTAATGGTTGGATCAATAAACATCAGAGATCAGTTAGAGATTCGCCTTTTGTTCCTGACAAAAACTAATCAATCTCAAGATGTATAATTGATTTTAATGAAATGGAGGCTCCCCAACCCCCGTCTTTGATCCTTGCATTAATGATTGCCTAGAGACAGCAGCAAAATCTGGGCACCCAATGCATCTTTCACTATCTTTGCCATCCCTGATGGTTCCCTGCATTTCAATGATGGGTCACTACCAAAAAGGACCACAGCTTAGTTTCATCCCAACTGCATAAAGAAACACCCCAAGTGACATTTTCCTGTTGTCGACACTGACCCCCCCTTTTAACCTTGTAGTTTATGCACAATTAATTGAGATGTCTTTTATACTTGATGTGCTGTAAAATTAATGTCTAATTTATGTAATTAGTCAATTAACTCTAATTCCAGCATATGGTTCCAAATGCCCAGAAGGTTGGTTCTCTCTCTCTCTCTCTTTCTCTCTCTGTTCTGCTTTTTCCCACCCCTTCCCTCGAACTTATTTTGATGTCACCAAATGCAGCTAATTGATTTTACATACATATTAACTTTAAATTCATATTTAGCAGCTCCTTTTTGTGAGGTTGATTTAATGTCTGTCTAACTTTTTTGTTTGTTGGGGTGGTGGGAGTTGGCTAACCAATCATTTGCTGGATGTCAAAATAAATGTGACTTTCCCTCATATCTCCATCATTCGGCTCCCTCCTGTGAGGAGGTTTTCTGCCTTAGCTGCCTTTTCATTGTGGGCTTTCTGGTTGCATTACGCTCTTCCATTCCATGGAATGACACGCCTATAGAATTTGAATGCTATGAATATTTAATATAAAACATTTCCAAGGGAATTTTTGTTTGTTTTTTCTAAATCACAATATCCTGCAGACATTTCTTTCTTTCTTTAAAATAGATCTTATTAATACAATGATGGGGGGGGGGGTGTTATGAAAATTTAAGTATTGCCATTTAATTAGAGAGTGAATAGATTCCTGAAGAGTCAGGCTGTTAGAGGAAAGAGAAAAGTGAAGACTTGTGGCACATTCAAGACCATTTTATTATATTCTTGTTAAGATGTGATTTCTCCCCACCTTTGGACTCTCTGCTCATTGATGCTAATCCATTGTTTGCACTACAAATATTGGTGTAGTAAAGCACTAAGAGATATTGAGATAGTTTTGGTGATTAAACCTTTGCAGTGATTGCCTGAGTTGCCTTGATGTCACAGAGACATCTCAGCTGGTTACATGCGGAGGCAGAAGCTTCTCTGTCTGCAACCAATTGAGTTGTTCAGATCCTGGAGCAGTGGTAGGAACCCTGTGGCCCTCCAGTCCCAGCCAGAGTGGCCAATTGTCAAATATGACAGGAGTTGCATTCCAGCAACATCTGAAGGGTCAGATGCCCTGATCTCTGCCAAACTTGTGCCATTCAGATGCTGTTGGATGGTCATTGCTGGGAAAGACCAATGATGACTGGAGTTGTAGCACAACACTGAATGGGGGGGGGCACAAGTTACCCCCCACTGTCCTAGAGAGATATCTACTACTGTATATATTTTCGAAAATGGTTTGTCTTCTTGTTCTCTATGCATTCAGACGCCTCTTAAGATATCATCACTCAACATGACACAAGACGTTTCAAGGTGGAGATGATAGTCTTTCTAAATGTTTGGACACTGGACACCATTTTGAACCAAGATGGCAGATTGGGACATGACTTGGGCATTATTTTCCCTGATTTTTGGCATGGCAGATCAAAATTCACATATTACACTATCCATTTAAAAAATCACATGTGTTTTCTTGTTTTGTTTCAGAATATTCCCTGGCAGAGCACTCCTTGCTAGTACAGTAATAGAAAAGGCTGTGGATTATATTGCTCCTCCTCTAACTCAGGGCTGGAAGGATGCTTTGACTTTTACACTAAATGTGTGGTACAAAAAGACTCTACATAGTTTCCATGGAGAAGCTAACTCATGAGCATAAAGCCACAAGGGCTCTGCTGCACCACAAGACTTTCAACAAATTGGGATGCGCAGCAGGTCTTGGTGGGTGGCAGTGGGAGCAGCTAATGGGAGAGAGTGGCAGGAGTCCCTGGAGATGGAGTCAAATGATTCTGGTTTTCTCCCCATCTTCCTCCCTAGAAGAGATACAATGGGCACTAAAGCAAATATCAGATCCAAGCACCAGATATCAATCAATCAATCATGTATTACATGGTCACAGACCCATTGTAAGAAAACAAACAAGAAATGAAATCATAATCATTAAAACATACACATATTTAAAATACAATGTGATACAAAGGATAAAAACATGAGATCCAAACTGCCAAGAAAGTGAAAGTATCAACTTATTAGTCCTTTGAGCACAGAAGAGGAACCTAGCCACTAGCTCTGTTATTAAATTGTTTGCATCAGCCATGAACTATTCCAGATACCATTCTGGGGTCCTTCGAGGTGTTTCCTCATAATGGGGCAAAATAGCCTGTTATGCTCCTCTCTACAAAGATCATATTTGAAAAAGGTGTGACCCACAGTTTCAACTTCCTCATCTCCACAGGGAGGCAAACATTCCTCATATGGGACCCATTGATAATGCACTTCCAACACAGGACACCTCAGCACCAACAAACATATAAGTTGTATCTCTGAGAAGCTGTTGAACCTTCCTTTTTTCCTCACACTGAACAATGAAGCACCAAAGTGCTTGACATAGTCTGCAGTGACTTACGTGGTCCAATGTTTGTTCCCTCATTGGAGAATAATTACATACTGATGCCATTTTGTGCAGCATATTTTCTAAAGGAAAAGAGTCAAACACTGGAAATGTTCCAGAAATGCCTTGCTATGGTGAAGAACAAATTGCAGAGAGCACCAGCTCTCCTGAAGATGGATAATGGGGGTGAATTTTTGCTCTTGCGACTTGTAATCCCTTGTAGAAAAAGAGGGGATTGAACATGTAACCACTGTTCCTTATACCCCACCACAGAACTAAGTAGCTGAAAAGAAATTCAGATCCATCATGGAGATGACAAGGTGCATGTTAACAGATGCATCTCCACCTCAACGCATGTGGGGAGACGCAGAAGCAACTGCAGTGGATCTCCAGAACAGACTGCCAACACACACCTCTTGAGCTTTGGCATGGGAGAACTCCCAATCTGTCACACATTCATGTATTTGGAAGCCTAGGCTTCAGCCATGTTCCCAGAGAACATAGACACAAGCTTGACTTCAGAGTGCAAGCAGGTATTTTTGTGGGATATGCCACTGGAGGAAAAGGTTACAAAGTTATGGACCTGGAAACAGGAAAAAGCAGCACAAGACATGTAGTTTATTTTGATGAGCACAACAAAGTTGGCACAAGGAATAGTGTTGTGGACTTTTCTGATAAATCAGAAGTAGCCAATGACCTTATATACTTCCCCTCATATACTTTTCAATGTCCAGATCTGCCTTCCAGTGTCATAGCCCCTTCTACAGGCGATGCGCAAGAAGACGACAGAGGACCAGACTCCTAGCAGCAGCACCAGAGATGAATTGGAGCAGCTTTATGTGGACTTCCTGCGTTGGAGGAAGAGGAGGAAGCTGATGCATTTCCAGGATCAGTAGAGGTGTTCCATCATTACAGCTGTCCTACTTCACAGCATCGGCGTTACTTTGGGAACCTTCCACATCGGAGGAGAGAGAGGAGGCACCAGCTACAGAAGCCTGTCTAGGGAGGGAGGTTGCAGAGGAGGATGCATTGTATCAAAACAACATCTGGATTCTTACTAATCTACCTCCTGGGAAGAAGGTGATAGGAACTAAGTGGGTTTTTTTAATTAAACAAGGGACAGAAGGCAAAGTGCAGTGCTACAAAGCCAGACTTGTGATTCAAGGTTTCAGTCACCGATATTGCAAAGACTATGATGAAGTTTTTGATCCAACTGTCCGATATAGCCGTGTAAGAATGCATGAGAGTCATTTAGTGTGCAAACTACAAAAAGGACTTTATGGACTGAAACAGGCTGCTAGGGCCTGGAATCAGAAGCTACATAAAATACTAACACAGCTTGAGTACAAACAAGGCCATGCCGACAAATGTTTGTACACCAAGTGTAATTATGAACAATTTTCTTACCTTGCCTTTGTTGATTATTTGATTATTGCCACAGCAAATGTCAAAGATTACACACAAGTTGTGAAACATTTCAGCAAAATGTTTAAGCAAGGGTGTGGAGCCTGCTCTGTGCCCGGGGGTACCACATTGAGGGACCCAGGTCTCGGTTTAGACTTTTTTCTGGAGAGCTTAAGAAAGAGTGTTTATGAATGAGGGTACTCCACAAGTAGATTCATGTGAAGGACTGTATGTTCAGTTCCTTACTAAGCATGGCAAATTACCTTCCTTGGGCCAACTGAGTGAGGCAGAAGTACACTTTTGAAAACGATCCCAGCACGAGTGCTGTGGCATCATAAAACTTTTATCTCTTCTTTCTGGACAAATTAATGAGCAATTTAATTAATAAAAATCAGAGGGTAGTGTAAGTGCAACGATAATGAAGTTAAATGAGTGCACAGTAAAATATTCCCTAATCCAGCGCATTGCCAAATGCCCCTTTAATTCCGCTTA